GATTTCATGTTGCCCCTTGCCCCTAATGGTTAGGGTATAGGGTTGGGGCCGCCAGTGGGGGTCTGGCTAACACAAAGACCGAGACCTGCCAGTAGTTGTGCCTCCCTTTCTCATAGTCCCCCACCCTTCATCGAGTAGCAGCAGAGGCTATGGCCAACACTCTCCCACACACCACACACAACCCACTCGCGCTCACCCTCACACCCGTGTTGGTCACAGACCCCGCTAATACCGATCAAGGGTATCCAGAGGACTATCACAGTACTGGGATGTTGTTTTTTTTTCAAAAACCAAAAGTTTTGTGGGGGCTGTGCGGGTTTTCTGGACTGTTTTTTTTTTTTTTTTTTTTTTTTTTTCAAGCACCAAAAGTAGCGAGACGGTTTTGTCTTTCTTTTTTTTCTTCATTCTTCTTTTCATTTTTTTCATTCTTTTTTGTTTCATCTTCATTCGCCGTCGTTTGCATCGTTACTTTTTTCCCCCCCCCTTACTTTATACTTTAATGCGCGGTCGTCGCAGGCTTGCTGCGAGTGGTCGTCGCAGGCTTTGGCCAATTTGTCGTCATGGTCGGTGGTCGGTTCATTCATAAGGGCGGTCGGGGTTCTTTTTCGGGTGGAGGGGTGAGTGTTTTTTGGGGGCTGGGGGGGGGGAGGGGGTAAGGATTGGGTTATTTATTTTTATTTTTTTCCAAGGAGCAATAGCAGCGGGACAGTCTTGTTTTCCTTGTCTTCATTCGGCGTTGTTTGCATCTATGCACACATAGGACATCACCAGACGATCTTAAAAATAAAACCAAATGAAAAAAAAAAACATACAATTCCCACGAAACAAATGGTGCAAAGGCCTCGCAAATTCCGTTCACAATTTGTGAGTGCTGTGCGGCGATGACTGCCGCAAATGCCGTTCACAATTCGTGAGTGCTGTGCGGCGATGACTGCCCCACAATATCGAAACAAAGCATATGCATTTGCCGTGCAACGAGGCCCACAGACGAGAACAAATTCTTATTATTTGAATCAATGATTTTCGCCACTTCCCACATTCACAAGAAACAAAAGCCCATCCGCGCTACAACTACTTTGCCCTGGCTGCGCCCCCGCGCCCTGCGCGGTCACAGTACCTACCCCAAGTCACCACACAGCAAACTGGCCATCAATCTCCAAACTGGGTCTCGGTTCGTCGCAAAATTTGTCGAAGCCTTTGGAAAGAATCGATCTGTCAAGTTGTGTTAAGTTACTGTTAACCCTTTTGCCCGGTACTCTCTCCGAGAGTCTAAACTTGCTCAGGGATATGGGCTCAAACCGTTGTATTTCGGTTGATGCAAAAGAGCCAACCCGTTATAGACACCAACTTTTGTTTCCTGCAGGACCAGGACTGAAAATCCTGGCCCGTACGGAAAACCGGATTACTCGTGCTCCAAATATTATCCTGATTCTTCGTCCTCTGAATAGTGCCTAGAAAAGGGAAAAAGGAGCGTGGAGTAGTAGACTAGTTCCGGAGTGGCAGAAAGTAGAAATGTGTTGAGGACGATGACGAGTGCCACATGGCATGATCTTGCTGGGCTTCATCCTCACCTATGTCCACAAATCGCATCATCCTAATTTTGCCAAATCAACCGATTCACCCTGGTAGTAAGAAAAGAAGTCGATGATGATGATGATGATGATGATGATGATGATGATGATGATGATGATGATTACAATGTAAGTGATGATGATGTCAGTGATGAGAGTGGGGGTGGCAATGATGAGGAGGATGAGAATGGCCATTGCAATGCAATCTCCCCTCCCTCTTCCCTGCCATGCAATGATTAAAATAGCCCTCCACCTTTGACGAAGAAGAAATAAAAAGAAAAAGGAGCAGAGAAAAGTGAAGAAGAGAGCGGACGAGGAGGAGGAGGAGGAGGAGGAGGAGGAGGAGGAGGAAGAGGAGAAGAGGAAAGGAAAGAGGAGGACGAAGACCAGCAGGCAACTTCACTGGTGCATACTTGCCTTTTGGCTATGTCTAGTATTTGTCTACTGCCTACTGGCTTGTGGGCCACCCTTTGGTGTGTGGCCCTTCAGGCACTTACTATTAGGTCAGCGACAACTTACCCTAGTTGTGCTTGGGGTGCATGGAGGGAAGGCACCTTCCTCCTCAGCGGGCGGAGACAGGCTCCATTTTGAGCTGCTAAGCTCTGGTGTCCTTATGCCACTGGCACACATAAGATTCCTTGACAAGGATATTCCGGGACACGTGAGCTTAAACCGCAAGTACACGGCCCCAGCCTTGCAGAAAGTTTTTGTTGCCACAAGCAAAACTCGGAGGGGTCGCGCGGTGTGGGGCGCCGTTGAAAAAAAAAATCGGCGGCCTCCGAAGTGGTGCAGGTTTCGTGCTGACACCCGCGGGCCAATGTGTGGTGTACTGCTGCTTTAAGGTAAGGCGTTTGTGTGCCTTCTTGCAGGAGCTAAAAGATGCTATTTATGTTAGAGGAAAATGTCAGATTCCTGCAGTGACCCTCAATGATGCAACTCCCAAATTTCAGCATGCATACACAGAAAGTGCACACGAAAGTTCAAATGAGGTCAGGGGAGGAAACCAATCCAGCTAAATGAAGAATCTTCAACCAATTATTATCGTATTATAGAAAGAAAAAGAGTTTTGAGCGTCCAGCGGCTATGGCCGCATCTATCCCCTGCTCAGCACCCCAGGTGAGTATCGCAACTCTCTCTCTAACTCCTGTAACTCTTTCCTGACTCTCGGTTCTTGTATCGCACACACCTCACTCTCTCTCGGACCTTGCGTCGCTAATCTCTCGTTTTTTTCTCTCACGCTTGTAGTTCCCTCCCTGAATACACCCGCTTCTACTTCCCGTACGCTAGAGTGCCTATGGCCGCCTTCTTCCTCCTTCCAACTACTCTAGCTATGGTGTCTTCTTCCCCATGCATCGGCGCGGGTCTTCGCCCAAGTCGGACTGTCACACAAACTGCCAGCAGCGCTTCTGCAACTCGCGAATGAGCAACTGCCTTCGCAATTCACTGTAGCAGCTATAAATAGGAACATTGACTTGTTGTTCGCCTGCTTCCGACTGGTACCGGTGGCCTGCAGCATGTCGGCCGCACTTCTGCCAGTCCGGAAGTCTCCGGACCTTCCTGAGATGCTGCTGCAAAGTTGGACTTTGGGACTGGACTTTCCTTGTTGGGTACCGTCAGACTTCTACCCACCTGTGATGCTTCAGTTCCAGACCCGACCGGACTACAACGCTTCAACATGCAGACTCTACCTGACTCCCAAACCCTGGGACTGGGACCTACAGTGACCTAGTGGGACTAGGACTCGGGGCGTGGACATCGTGTGAAAGCCTTTCATTCCATAGGATTTGCTTCATTTCTCGTGTACAAGTGGCCCCGGCGCGGCGACGCGCACCCCAGGTCCAGGCCGTACCGTGTGGATCCCATGGGAGGTCCAAGGCTGCCTATACAGGGCAGAATCAGAGCAGGGAGGCCCATGCGGGACAGGCCGTGCTGTGTGGATCCCATGAGCAGACGACGAAGACCGGCATACCCGGAAAGTGAAGCGATGAGGGGAGGACGACGTCGATGAGAAAGAAAGAACACGTGGAAAAAAAAAAAGAAAAGGAAAAAAACTTAGGGCATACTCACATCAGGATAAAAGCTCCAGATGGGATTGCAGCGAAACTCATCCAGGTATGGTGGTTCTTATCGTACGTTTTTTCAAATTTTCTCATGATACGCTAGTGTCGCTTGTCACCATCCTTGACTGGACACCAGACAAGGATGGTGACGTCATCAATTAATCTGAAATCTTTCACCGGAATCTGAAATCTTTCACCGGTCTCCTGTCTGCACGAAGACCTGACAGGAAACTCCACTCATTTCCTCGTACACAAAATGCAAGCCAATGTTGGGCTACTGCTCTTTCCCATTGGTATTCTAGCCTGCTGCCGGATAAGAAGATTGGAGGCAGCCAGGTAGGTATGCCTCAGTTCATAATCCACCTTATCCCTGATTATCTCGAAGCTGATTTCCATCCACCATTCGTTCCCCAACTTCTTTGCAAACGCCGCCTCTTTCCCCTTCCTTGGAATGATCACTCCATCTCTCCCCTTACCAGTCAAGGAGCCAGTCGACCGCAGTTATGATAGATTCATGAGGGAGCTTGCTAAACATTTCCGTGATGTCAAACACCGCTCCCTTCAACTCACCTTTCCCCTTCCTTTTTACCCATTCGTTAGCTTCCCACACCCGGTCCTTCAACAGTCCAGTAGACTTCAAGTTGAAATGCATTGACTTTGGTAGAAGGAACAGTAAATGGGCCCTGAACCATTTACTGTTCCTTCTAGTTGGTTCAGAGCAAGGACTTCAAGTTGAAATGCATTGACTTCGGTAGAAGGAACAG